GATGAGTCACAGGCCATTTTTCTCGGTGGCTGAACTTCCACCTACCGCTTCGGGTGGCTCAGGGAAGGGCCCTCGCCGGGCTTGGCTGTCCTTTGGAAAAGCAGACTGCTTCCGAGAGCAAATCTTTACAAAAAGTCTCTACGTGTCACCATTTATTGATGTGAATTCAGCTCCAGACCAAGCATGCCCGGGGAAGAACAGCTACAAACTAGGCTAATATCCCATTATGAGAGCCTCGGGCCGCTGTCTCGATGGGACCGCTTATCGATCCGCCACTTGATGACAGCGAGCACTTAAGCATTTTCGCCCCGACCCCCTTTCCCTCCAACACCGGAAATTTTATAATGGAGGGGTGACTGATCTCAACCCCGGCGAGGATCAATCAGCTTCGTTCGCCGCGTCCCTGAAGCCCAGTGTCCCTGGAAAGCAGGACTCACCCCCGTCGCGAGGGGTCGCGTACAGGACGTCGCTGTCGACGCTGTGGACTCCGTTGAAGACAGAGATAAAAATCTGATACTCCGTGTCTGGGTTTAAGTGGCCAATGACATGAGCGTTTACCTCTGGGTGGATTTTCAGAGATTCGCCGGAGGTAGCAGAGCTCCAAAAAAGCGTGTAATATTCAACATCACCTTGTAGGTCTTGAAAGGCTGTTAATGACAAATACGGGGACACAGTCAAACGGCCTTGGGGGGGTGGGGAAGGCAGAATAAACTATTATTTGCTAGTCCTAGAATGGGACAAAGGAAAGCATATGGAACCTTCCTTACGGCTTTCCTTTTTTTTTTTTTAACACTGCTGATTCCTCCCCCCCATAATTAATTGTGTAGAGTCTTACTTTTATAGGTAGAATGAACCGTCAAAACGGGAAGGGCCTTATTCAATCGCCCTTGACGAAGTGCTAATAGCCATTAAGGCTAAATACATGAGAAACAGCCGAAAATCGGATGCCCGAGCCCTAAGTTTGAGTTTGGGAACCGCTATTTCCTCGCTGTAATTTTGGGCCAGCTACTGACCCCCCATGTCTTCCTCAAAGGGCTTTCCTGAGAGTTGTGTGAATACCTTAAGTGCAGGCGATTTTGCATCTCCTCTTACAAAACGTTTTCACTGCTATCATGTATCTTTGTGGTTTTTAATTTAGGCTGAAATATTTTCGTTTATTAGACAGAGCAGCAGTGAGGGCCTCACACCTCTGTAGGGACCAGGAAGACGGGGCACGTGTGGGCCTGTCCGAAGGGGAGGCCACCATGGGGGCAGTTTCCCCTGATCACTTAAATTTTCAAATCATTCCAGAAAGAATCACCATCTTTACATGACATCTCCTGATGCTGAAAATGCTGACAAAATGATTTTTCAAATACCGCAGGCACAGTAGTGGATGTTCATGCGACGTCACACATAGCGACGCAGAAGTTTAAAAGAGGCACTTGTAAAATTCTCAACAACTTATTCCTGTTGCCCGGTGATTGGTAAAAATCTGCCAGAAATATTTGGTTACCCAAATGGTGTGTGTGGCGTAGTTACAAAACAGGTTTTCACAAATACGTTACATGGTGCTTTTGAAAGGCAATTTTTAGTAAGCAAATATAAATGCATTCAGGTGACTTTCGACCTATAGTCTTGTGCCTTTGGTCACACTAGGCAACGTGCCCATTGTATCCTACCAATCAAGGAAGCAGTTATTAAAATTGCAAGAAGCAGGAGGCCCTTTCTCAGAGGAGGGACTCGTTAATTTAGTTAGGATAGTAGGTTGGTTACAAGAGGGAGGAAAATGAGTATGCACAAACTTCGGCGTCGCTGACCTGCTTCTAAGAGTTAACCTCGATGCTCACACATGGTCATCTGAAAAATTTCCAAGGTATGGACGGAAATTACAGCAGATTGCACGGCGTACGTTCCCGAAGGTCAGAGGTTCAGATTCCCGGGGTAATGGAACTTCAGTGAGCTGCTTCGGACCTATTAGGTTTGTCAGTTTTTATAAGCTCGCTTTTTTCAGGGTGCGTTATAACAGAGGCCTGCGGTGGTGGGAACCCAGCAGCCGGGTCCTAGCAGCAGCATTCGGGTGTCAGCGGAGGCCCAGGGCCTCCGCCTTTCCGACGGGGCTTCTACGATGGGTCGGCAGGGGCCCTAGCTGGTTTGGCTCAGTGGTTAGCATGTCAACATGCAGACTGAAGGGTCTCAGGTTCGATTCCGGCCAAAGGCACATACCTGGGTTGCAGGCTCAATCCCCAGCCCCTGGTCAGGGTGTGTGTGGGGAGAACGAATCGATCTGTCTCTCTCCCATCGATGTTTCTCTCTTGCTCTCTCTCCCGCCCCCCCCCCGACTCTCTCTGAAAATATACTGTGCATAAGAATCCACCTCCAGATAAAAACTTTGTGTTGTTCCAGGGGGCTCTCAGAGGGTATTCTTCCATTTAAATGGTTTAAGATCCCAATAGAAGGGATGTCGGTCATTAGACACCCGAAACCTCATAAACACCCTCGAATGATAGTCTTTAGTAAAAATGGGTTATTTAGTGGCACCGGAGATCAACCTAACAGGTACTAATTTTAATTTACAATGAATGTCGCCTAATATTGGTTTTAATTCACAACGGATACAATTGGGGCAAATTCAGGGGATGCTCTAAAATGAAACAGGAAGCGTGTCTCTCCTTAGGCAGCAATAAAACTCAGGCCTGGATCCCAATCCCAACCAGGAGTAAATTTATATCTTTTTATATAATAGCAGATGGCTACCCGAGTAGGTGCAGTTTCCTTGCATTAAACATACATTTTAATTGGGGCTTCGCAAGTCCGGTATTTCTCAATATCTGGTAATATTCCAGGCAAGCGTGGATTCCGTTATTTTAAGTGGTTCTTGTTCCTAGTGCTGAGTGACGAGATGGGGGACCGCGTTCTCCGCAGGAGCCTGCCCATATAGAGTGTCCCCAAAAGTGCATATACACACTTTGCGTAACAATAGAGGCAGTGTTGATTAAAATACGTCTCATTTTTCAAAACTGAGCTCTCAGCCATTACAGTGTGTAAACATTTTTGGGATGCCCTGTACAACGGGACCTTGTTTCAAATGACTACCTGGGCGTTTCCATCACAGCTGGCTGGACACTACATTCCCAACCCAAAAGGGACAGAGCAAGGGAGAGGGGGCCCAGTAGGGACGGAGGAAGAGAGACAGTGGGCACCTGAAGCATAGCACGGGGACCTCAGCTTTTTGTTGTTTTGGGTTTTGACCACGTTCATTTCAAATTCACCTTGGTATCAGTATGTTAAGGGGAAACAGAGGCACGGGAAGCTCACGCACTTGGTCTGTCCCATCTCACGTCTAGCGCCGTGCGGTTAAGGGCAGTCACGGAGACGTTGGCTCCTCGCCGCGGGAGGCCAGCCCACGTGGTCACCGTCGCTTCCCGGCTCGGGGTGAAGCCCACGCTGTTGTGGACGAAGACCCTGTAGGTGTACGTGGTGAACCTGCAAGGTTTTTTAAAAAAGACGTATGTCAGCGTCTCTTTTGCAGGAAACAAAACAGATGTTTCACTTGTGCCTCACAAAATACAGGATTCCCCGTCCCCTCAACAAAAGGCACAATTTTCTTACCCCCCTCCTTAACAAAAGGCATAATCTTTCTCGATGCAAAAACATTTCATGCTTTTTGTAAGTGACTTGTCTAAGGCCACACAGCCATCCACACCTCGCTCGCCTGGGCAATAATTTTCTGATATTACCTGCTGGCCTATCCCTTGATTTCTTTGAATTCTAGCCTGAATTCTTCCAAGTGTCAAGCTTGTTAACGAAATAATTTTTGTGGACTGTGTCAATGCCTTATAACAATTATTTTCCAGACACAGCAAGCATCTGACAAGTGCCCACTATATAGACGGTCGAGATTTCCAAATTCCTATATTAAGTTTTCACGTCCTGCGGGGGCTGTGACACAGGCAGTAAGCGAAGGCTCCAGCACCTACAAGTTCGAGTTCAAAAGGCTTGTTTCCGAAGGCGGCACGCATTAAAACAGGATGGCTGTTTCGGCTCGATGATTAACGCCGCAGATAATGACCGAACGCGTCTCGCCGAGGAACTGATAACGCGCCCGCCCAACGAAGACACGGCGACACGTTCAACTACTCTACACGCCCCCAACTGCACGCCAGCACTTGTTTTTATAGTTTTTGTAATCTCACCTGCTAAGACCCTTATCTTCGTAAAACCACCGAGTTCCTGAATAAATATTGTGCCACAGATTTAAATCTTCTGGGGGATTTGATGCAAGTGGCTGCTGGATTTTACGTCTCAGAAGCTCATATCTAAAGCGAAAGACAAGCAGAAACATTGGGATTATCTCAACGGATGTTATTACCAAAAACTCAGGGTGTTTCGTGGGATGCGTCCGTGGAAATGGAAAGAAAACATCTTACTTGTGATTGCAAAGTTTTTTTCCCCCCAGGTTATTATTTTTTCCTGACTCGGGTTTCAACCATGCAGTTATTCTGAAACCAAGAGCTATATTCGCATTTTTGGGCTGTCGGCGAGAAGGGCGATGCTTGATCCCCCGTATGTCAGGTTTGCTGACACCCCCTTGCCAGTGTCACACAAAGCAGAGACACAAAATGCTTAGGAGGGTAATGATTTCCTAGGACGTCAGCCGCCGATACTTGATAAACAATGATAATATTATCGACTCCATAGTCTTGGCTAAGGGTCAGGTTGAGCGTGTTCAAAAGCCACTGGAGACTCTTTTCTTCCTTCTGATTCAAACCCCCGACCACATTCTTTACCGGTTTCCAGATAATAACAACAGGACAAAGAATTACGTGTGAGCTTGGGAATTCTGAGACGTGGCTTGTGCAAATGCATCGCGTAGAACCTGCCATCAAGGTTTCCTGACGTATAATAAAAATACGCTTTGAAAATCAAGGGGAGGTCATGTCAAGGACCGTTAGACAATAGTGGTGGTTGTTTCAAGGGCTTTCGGTGCTTCACGAAGTTAAGGTATTTCTACTTGTATGGTTCCCTGAATCCAAACACGTTCACCTTTTCTTACCTCAAATTGGGTCCATTGGGCCTGGATGGCGCCTGCCAAGATATCCCAACACAGGATTCACTCAGTGGGACCACGGACAGCGGGTGAACATCCTGAGGCAGGGCGGGCTGGGTGGTAACGAGGGTAGGGAGACTCTCTGTGCACCCGCCCAGATACCCGTTACCCCCCGAGCAAGCCACGATGGTGACCGAGTAATCAGTGAACGGCATCAGGCGGGCGACCACCTGGCTCAGCGCCGAGGGAGTGCCGTCGGTTATGGTGACGTGAGGGTCGGGCATGCGGATCTCGTAGCTGAGCGGGTCTCCATTCTGGATGAGTGGGGGTTTCCACGTGACCTGGAAGAAAAGATAAACTTGGAATCAGTGTGGGGACCCAAGAACAGAGCAGCGGAGGTTAGCCCATGGGGCCCATCTCCTGGATGAAGTTATATGATCAAAGGAGGGAATTTAAAGAAAGCAGCCAGGCAACTTGTTTTCCAGACTTTCTGATCGTTTGTATACAACAAATCAAACAGGATTGTGCCTGGAGCCACTCACGGCTCTTCTACAAGAACCTGTTCCTTTTCAGATCCGCCTATTAAATGTCTGTTGGAAAGAATCCAGATTCACGCCCATCACACAGCTTTGCCTGCGTTCAAGGGACGTGTTTACGTCGGGTCGTACTGACTGGTATCGCTACCCAAGCTGAGACGAAATAAGTCATCTCCGGAATGATTAATCACTCTAGGTTTGCTTGGGGTTCTCTTTTTTGTTTTTAGTTTGAATGAGGAACACTCCTTAAGACTACCCAATAAACGCTGCTAATTGTTTACTTGGAATTAATTTCCTTCCACAGAATTCTATACACTTTTGGTATTTCTATCAAAAGCAGGTGTTGCTTTGAACAGCCTCAGGTTGCAAGGACCTAATACAGTCTTTTCAAAAGAGCATTTCGCTTGTAGGTTGCATTAAATTTCTCGGACCGTTTCCCCTATTTAGCATCACCTAGTGTTTGGTGTCGGGTGGGTGGGGGGAGAGCATGAGCCACGTAGATCCCAGTCGTAATTTCAACAGATGAACTTTGCTGTTATGCGAAGGCCCTTTGTTTTGTGCTCTGGTGAGCAAGCTACTGTGCTGAGGCTCTTGGCAGTCGTACAAGACCCAAGCCATGGAAGCATGTGTGTATTTACACAAAAGAGGCTTCTAAGCTACAGAACTCCCTCCTGTTTGGTTACACTAATTTCCCTTGAATGAAGTTTGTCTGGGAGCCAAAACAATGGTAGTTAGCCAGTCCTCTGGCGCTCGCTCCCGGTAGGACGGGGAGAGTAATTCTACGCCTTCTAGATCGCACAGAGATACGCTATTTTTATTTCTCTCCCCATCATTTTGATTCTTTGATCATTAAAAAAAAAAAAAAAATCAGGATTTTGGTAACTGGAACTCCTGTTAATACTCTAACGCACTCCTCCGCCCTTCCCCCACCCCTTCCCATTTTTCTGATCTATTTAAATCTGACGTGGTGGTTGAGCTAAGCATCCCATTGTGGCGTTCAAAGCATTTCAGGTGTGTGAGGCAAACGGCAGCATCTCGACAATACAATTAAGAGGATACGGGGAGAAATGAAACTCTGACAGCGAATGTGAGAGAGTTTGGGCCAAAGGCCAAAACCCCGCTTCTCCAGCGAGCGCCCGAAACAGCAGATGTGTGCGTGTCGCCAGTAGGTGGCTCTGTCCAACACGGAGAAAACCAGGGTCAATTCCTACGTCTGCAGGGAACACAGAACCCTGGGCATCTTACCTCTGCTGCGTCGGGGCCCAGCACCCGCACCGTGGGTGGCTGCACCCCAGCAGGCCGCGAGGGTCTTGTGGTCACCTCCACCCAAGCACTGCTGTTCGTGCCCCCGTTTCGAGTGCTCACCAGCACCCGGTATCCGTATGTGGTCCACGGGCTGAGAGCGGGGGTCTTGTCAATGTACCGCATGGAATGATTTCTTGGGAGTGTCACCAGCGTGGTGACTTCCTCCCTCCCTTGGACTCTTCTCTCGATCGTGAAGTTCTCCACCACGCCGTTGGGGCGGGTGGGGGGCTGCCAAGATATGATCACAGACGTTGGGGTGTCAGAGAACAACTCTGGGCTCGGGATGCCTTCCGGGGCGTCTGGGAGTGTCCACGCAGTCTGGGACTCCGGGGACAGGGAACACCCTTTCGACGTGCAGGCTTCCACTTGGAACCTGTAGGCGGTGTGAGGGCGTAAATGGGTCGCTGTGCAATTAGTGACATTTCCAGGAGCTTCCGAACAGAGGTGGCCATGCTGGTAGATGTTGTAGTGCGTAATAACCCCGTTGCGCTTGGAAGGGTGCTGCCAGGTGACCAGCATCGTTCTCGATTTCACATCCAGGAGAATCGGAGGGTCCATAGGTCCGGGTCCTACAAAGTGGAACGAATCCAGAAAGTGATAACTGCTTGAAAACGTCCCACATCTCCTTGAAATAAAGCTAGAGCGAGTGCCCACTCTCCCACGAGGATGTGAAATTGACCCCTCGGTGACAGCTGATCAGAAAATACAGGTGTGTCCCAAAGACAGGGACGAGCCCCGTTTTGCTTGCAAATGTGCAAGAGGTCATTTTCCTTCCTACAGTGGCTTTATCAAAACCATTTCTTTTTCCTAAAGCGAATGCTTAAAAAAAATAGCACGAGGACTTTTTGGAAATCAAGACACTAGAAGAGAAATAGACATGAAGGCAGTTGTAACCAAAGCCCACATTTTTTTTTTTTTTACAAGAGGCCCGGTCGCTAATTATAACCGATGACACTCTCCTAACACACCCGCCTAGTTTACCGCCCGGGAAAACCCTCCCGCATCAGCACCGTTCATTCCAGATTCCCTATCACACCCGGCTCTGTTTATCATTCTCGGCTGTGTTGGGCAATTTATCTACTCCCTGTTAATATTATAGGTGATTTTTTACTCTGACTGTGACAGAAGCTGCCGATGGAGCTCTTTCACCTACTGATAAATAAACAATGCGCGGATCTGACCTTTGGGTTAACAGGTTTTATGCCTGCTCCACTCAGCACTCTAACTGATTCAATTACCATAAAGGTCCAGGAGGCTGCGTGAATACTGAAAGAGGCCCACCATATGCCCGCCGAGGTGCTGTGCGGAGCCGCAAACATCCTGCGGCCCTCCAGAGAAATTCCTTAATTGTAAATAATTTCGCCGCGCGACACAATCAAGTCACCTTGAGTGCGAAACCCCGCAGCCCGCGGAGGCAGAGTGTTATTTAAGCTTTACTGGGCTGCGTTAAATTCTGCAATTTGAAGGGCTGTTAAGTTTTTCAATTGAAATTTCATTTAAAATGCAGGTGCTTTTTTATTATACGGAGGCTTTACTGCTCTCCAGGTACAAGGTAGAACACGGCGCGATAACACAAATCTGCTCAATCACAGATCAGGAACAGCTGTAATTCCAGGACATTTAGCATTTTCCCAAACCACGGCCCCGATCCATCCCTCGCCGCGACGGGTCGAGAATGCGCCCCGACCCCCCCGTCTGCCCGCAGCGATGTTGACATTTATGAGATTGTTTCTCGGTGAACATTAGATTTTATTGAAAAATCTTTATAAAAGATATACTTGGATTTAGTAATTGTTCGAAACATCATGGATTATGTGTGTGTGTGAGCGCGATTCCGTGTTATACTCAAGGCTTAAGTTTTAAAGGTAACAGCTGCTTTGCAAACCGGTGACAAGAGAGCCGGCTGTGGGAGTGAGCACGGTGTCACCCAACGTGAGCCACATATTTGTCACCGACCGGACTGATGGGTGAGTCACAATTACTTTTTGAGAGGGAAGGTGGCACAGAGCATGAACCCTGACACCGCGTCGTTTCTGATAATTTGGCGATGCTTCCCACTGGGACAGAAAACTCCTGAAGTCCAGGCATCTTGAGGGATCCTGCCTTTTTTTTTTTAGTCTGTTGTTAGCTTCCGTTTTAAGGATCCCTTAAAGACGCTGTGACGTTTCTTACTTTGCCCTCCGGCACACAGCAGGAGTGGAAATTATTATATCAAAGCAGGAATCCTCTGTTATTTGTACCTGTCATTCAAATCTGGCTATTTCCCAACGAAAAGCAAGTGCGAATCTTGCAAGATATCAATGCTCTTTTGGGAAACTAAGTCCTCGGAGATTAGGGTCCATAAAATCAACGGTGGGTTCAAGGCTTTTGTGTCTAACCCTATGTCACCCTTCCCCCTAAAAAAAAAAAAAAAAAAATTAAGACATGCCCGGCCGGCGTGGCTCAGTGGTTGAGCGTTGACCCATGAACCAGGAGGCCACGGTTCACATGCGTGGGTTGCGGGTTCGATCCCCATCAGGGGGCCGTGCAGGAGGCAGCCGATCAATGACTCTCATCACTGATGTCTCTCTCTCCCTCTCCCTTCCCCTCTCTGAAATCAATGAAAACATTTTCTTTAAAGGAGTAACATACACTACAAATCAGAACCTTTCTGTTGGGGTTTTCCCAGGGTTTTGCATAATTATTTCTCACATGTGAACCATATCAAACCATGAGAGCGTCGGGAAAAAGAAACAGCAGTTTGTTTGTAGGAGGGCAGCAAGCTTTTCATTTATCCGGAGTCAGAGGACAGACAGTGTTCCCGGGGAAACACCCTTGGTAATGAGACGAACGTACACCGCAAGCCCCCCGAGATCATAGGCTCTCCTTCAAGACGATCTCTTATCTTGGGGAAGAAGACATGTTCCATTTCAGGATTGTTTCCCCTCCTTAAAAGCCAGCGCCTTTTATTAGCTCCCCTCTCTGAGTCGGTTCCCTGCTCCGGTCGCCAGAAGGGTCCTTACACGTGCGTGATCCAGGAGAGGAAGCCGAGGGCGGCTGAATTAGCTCCTTCGGCGACGAAAGTGTTAAAACCTGGCTCCTGGCACTGCCTCGATCCTGGGCGTTCGAGAGATAATCCGGATCGTCTTACCCTATATACAAATCAACGGGCGGGCTACGGAGGAAAGGGGTCACCACCATTATGTAAAACACGGGTAATAACTATAATTGGGGTAGTTTGCTAATACAATAAAAAGCTCTGAACACGGGGAAAGTTATGCTCGCAGCGGTAGCTATCACTTTCTAAAGTAAGAATTCATGGGTGAAATGACATGAAAAAGATGGTTATAAAATTTTAATGGAATGATAAAAGGCAGAAGTCAGCCTCTCAGCTGAATTCTTAAAATCCCTATATATCACCATCAGCTCCTTAACTGTAAAATCAATGTGGGGGAGAGCATGTTGTCAACGTAGCTGTCACTGGAGGGGAGACGGGGGGCGTTTGACAGCCACGAAGCTCGGCCGGACAGTGACAAAAAATACACCCGCCCGGCCCTGTCCCCGGGTGTCGCTGTTCAGAAGAACGCCCTCCCGGAGCCGGGGACGGGGCATCCCCTCTGATCACTGATTTCACAGCTCAGGCCACCTTGTCACGGCGTCCGTAACGGGAAGCAGCTTCATTTTGGCAAATGAAATGATCTTTCGTGGGAAACTGCTTTGCTCGACAGCTCCAGAAGTTCAGCCCCGGCCTACAGCTGAGAGATGCAATTGTTTTTTTCTGTTTTTTGTTTTGCTTTTTTAAATATATCTTTATTGATTTCAGAGAGAGGAAAGGAGGGGGAGAGAGAGAGAGACAGAAACATCAATGATGAGAGAGTCATCGATCGAGCCCACACCCGGGCACGTGCCCTGACCGGGAATCGAACCCCGATCGCCTGGATCCCAGGTCGACGCTCAACCGCTGAGCCACGCCCGGCCGGGCGAGAGATGCGAGAGATGCAATTGTTAACGGACGTCTGCGTATTTATGGCCACACTCAGGTGTGTACGTTGGGACGGGTGTGTGTGCACGTGTGCATGAACGGGGGGGCTCACCACCCCGCCGGGGTGTGTGTGTGTAACTTTCCGTGGCTTTCACGGGTCCCTTGCATGTGCTGGCCTTTACAGTCACCCCCCATTGCTCCGTTTTCCTGCTAGGTTCTCATTACTGCCCCAAAGCAACTTTTTACCATTCTCATTAAAAACTCACTCCGTTTAAAAGCTCTTTTCAGTAATATTAACCCTGCAAATGAATATCCCCTACGTTTGCCGATGAATTAAAAATCAAGGTGGCAAATACATGGACGCGTAATGACACAGAGCGACGTGTTATACGCTGATTGTGAAGGGGGCCCTTTGGTATCAGCCACTGAGAGGTTAGCAGAAGAGTCGAGTGATGGATTCTACGGTCCCTCTAATCAAGAAATCTTTCTATCGATTTATTATTTATACCCCAGCTACCTGCCAACAGGGTTTCTGACAGCTCGTAATAAAGGGCTTAAATGTAATAGGACCACAAACCTGCCACACGCACACAGCGTTCCCCTCTCACTGTAGGTTTCAGGGATCAGAACAAAAAAGGCCTGTTTTCCTCTTGGAACTCCCTTTCGACACATCCCTCCCCACTTTGTCTTGGAATCGCACATGGCTTACGACTAGCAGACGCCTCTCTAATAAGGACACTCATTGCCCTGGTCAGGGATGGCCAGCAGGCTGTCACCGACCAGGCGAAGGAGGGTGGCTTCTGGGTTCCTTACCTGCTTCTGACCCTCACGCTTCTTGCCTCAGACTCAGAGGCCAAAACCACCAAGGGCAGACACCCTGGGAGCCACCACTGTTCCTTTCCCGCCCAGACCTCTCCTTCTGGTCCCAGCTGTGTCCCAGGCTTGATGAAAACCAGTCTTGCCATCTCCCCCCTAAAAATATCACTATCGGGGACCCTCTTGGGCACTGGGGAGTTTTGAGGCTTTGGCTGATGCAGACAGGTGCCTATCAATGGTCTGAAATGTAAATGTGGGCGTGAGGTGACCTCCCTGTTTCCTTCCATAACATGAGACGTGGAGCGTCTACCCTGGAAGCTGCCCTTTGGTGAAAGGGGGGCGCTGGGCAGGGCCGAGCACGAAGCGTGATTCTGGCAACGGAGCTGTCAGCGTGGGCGGGTTTATGAGCAGCGCTTTGAAACCAGTGCCCAGTGCCAATCCCTCATCTTTGTCAACACCATCGCACATCCTTTCCGAGTGGGCATCCACCTCTGCTGACACCCAACACACAGACTGCACTGTCATCACGTCCCAGGGGTGAGCACGCACTGGCCACCGAACCCGGACGGGCCACGGCCAGCCTGCGGCACTTCTCTGATGTGTGTGACCGCTCAGTGCGCCCATGAGCAGGGGAAGGAAAAGGTCATCAGTTTTAAGGAAAGGATTCAGATGAAAACGATGGCTGGGCTTCGTGGGTTAATGACACCCGCTGTCTAAGCAAATGCCACTAATTCTTACTTAAGAGAAAGGACTACTAGGACTCACCTCAAACCCAGGCCCTAAAAACGGCCGGGAAGGCAGCATGTGTGTGTGTGACAATTCTAACCACAGAGTCTGCGAGGCCCGTTTTATGGGAAACGGAGGCAGGAGATGAGTTTGCTGAGGGCGGGATGCTGGCCTAGCTGGTATTTGCAATGCCCTGGACTTCATTTGAGTGCTGACTCCCTGCCTGTGGAGAGGCGATCATGCCCCCTCTTTCATAAGCATCCCCACGGGGGTAATCCACGGTCGCCCTTTCTCGGTGGGAACAGAAATTATAAAGGCCAGAAAGAGACGGCCAGTTTTTCTTCCTACAGTGTGGTGTTCTCGCCGCCTCTTCAGTGGGTTGAATAATTATTTTCAGGTCATCTGTACTCAGTTGTTTTTAAAAGATATTTCTTCAAGACTATTTTGAGTGTGAACCCTCCAGATCGGAAATCCGTATACAGGGGGGGTAGTAATGTTCCCCCTGAAAGGGGAGTAGGCGCGCTGAGTGGCGTGTTAACGCCTCCTGGGCCTTGGGTAGTGTTTACTGCACTGTGCTGATAATTTACTAAACGGTACCCTCAAGACCAAGAGCACCGGCTGTGCCCTTGTAAAGGACCTAACGTGCTCCCAGCAAGAAATGGGTGAAATATTACATATTAGTGTTCATAACAGATGCTTGCAAAAATAAGGTAAGCTTCCAGGAAGGTAAATAGTTCTGATTCTACCTCATTTAATGTCTTAACCTCGCCACAATAATGTAATTATAATTTAGGATATTGTTGAAATCAAATAATCTGTTTCATGAACAACTGGTATTGTTTCAAATCCTATGCCTTTGGATGAATATCTTGCCTGGTGAAAGTCACCGCGGTCCTCGCTGGGTACGGAGCTAGGATGGCAACTGGCCAACAGAACAAGGTCTTCTAAGGAGCTCCCGGTTAAAAGATTTGACAGGATTAACCCTAAAAACCTCACTGTTCAAAGATACAGTGTCCTTACCCACTCTGTGTAGCTTGATTTAATTTACAACTTCTCTAAAAAATTATACTCCCATCTGTATGCGTTTATAGAGGTAATTTGCATAAAGCTAAATATGATATCCATATGTTCATTTCCTATATGCAACCTAGTCAAAACATATATATGCAAACATAATGCTTCCACGGAAAACTAGAAACCTCTCTGTCTTGGTTGAGTAAGGCAAGCCCGATCCATTTTATGTATTATAGGTGGAATTGCTATTATTAGATTATACTTCTCTATTCAGAAGGCTGTTTGTCAAGTGCAAATAAAAGTCCTACGAAATCCATTTCCAGGAAAAGGTATAACAGTGCTCGAAGCATCCTCATAAATAAAGCCAGGCCCATCTTTCAAGGTATCCTACCTGCAAGGCTCCCTCCAAAGCAGAGAACAGGGTAACATTTGGACACAGAGCACGAGATGACAACCTCTCTCCCGCAGGACACCTCGATGCACCCTCAAGGATTGAATGGGGCCATAGCATAATTTATCCTGAATTACTCCCTCCTCTCCGAACGCCCAACCCTCCCAGCCCTCCACGCACGCCTCTCTCTTCTTTCTGGAACATCTAACCACCCTCACCCTATAAAAGATTAATTACTGTCCCTAGACATCAAGAAAACAAAGGCGGCTTATTTCTGTGTTTAGGAAAAACGAAAGACGTTTGAGACTCCCCGGGGTACAGGACATTTGGCCGTGTCCTGTGCGGGCCACTTACTGTCCTCCGTCGTCATGAACAGAATCCAAGAGCTGAGCGCACTGCCAAATCCATTGGAGGCAACCAACCGAAACTCGTACTCGGTGTGGGGCTGGAGATCTCTCACTTCGTGGCTTAACGATGCAGAAGGACTGGAAAATAACCTGTAGGGGACAAACGTTAGTTAGAAAGTTTCAGACGTTCAAAGAAATTAAACGATCAAGTCTGGTGGCACAGACTTCCCAGAGAATGTCAACATGCATTTAGGTATTGTACTTCTCTGTCGTCACACGGTCACCCTCTGAAAATAAGTGGCCGTTTGGCTGAGGGGCCATAATATTGCATTGATCTGAGTTGTAAATTATAGTGGTACTGAGTCCATTCTAATCTAGCATCGAGAAGGATTCTGTAGAACAAGTATTATAATTCTGTAGCCACCGTTCAGACAGCATTTTCAGGGATTCCAGTGCGTGCTTGCTTATGGAATACGTGTGCTCATGAAAAATTAAGTGGGAAGAAATCTTATTTTAAAATCTTACTTTAATAGGAAAAGTAGGTATTTTTACAAAGCAAATAATTTTCTCCCAGGGTGTTGCTTGTGTTTTGTTTGTCTGAACTTTTAAAAGGTGGCCTTTATTTGTGGCCAGTGAGAACGGACCCATTGCTCAAAAAACTGAAATTGAACCCCGTCGGTGTGGTTCAGTGGTTGAGCGTCCACCTAGGAACCAGGAGGCCACGGTTCCACTCTGGGTTGTGGGCTCGATCCCCAGCAGTGGGCACTGCAGGAGGCAGCCCTATCAATGACTCTCATCATTTGATGTTTCTCTCTCTCTCTCTCTCTCCCTTCCTCTCTCTGAAATCAATAAAAACATATTAAAAAAATATTTCATTTTAAAATAAAAAGAAAATATTATTTAAAAAACCCCTGACATTTATGTAATATGAACTGATGTTGCCCCAATAGATTTAATTTAACAAACGGGAACAAAGATGAAGCCACGGCTACACTGTGCGCCCAGGAGCCAGCCGGGCAGGGCAGAACGCTCACTCTAGAAATCCACGGGCGTCGTGGCCGGGCCTCNTGGCTACACTGTGCGCCCAGGAGCCCGCTGGGCAGGGCAGAACGCTCACTCTAGAAATCCACGGGCGTCGTGGCCGGGCCTCATCTGGAGCTGGTACCGGGGAGAGCCCGGAGCGTTGTTCCGAGCTGGTGTAGACCAGACAACCTGAAGACTGGTCGGAGTGGCAGCTGAAAGCCTGGGAGGCAGCAGGCCATCTGGAGCTGTCGAAACACACAGATGAATTAGAGCAGAGAAAACCGTGGCTAACATATGCTGGGTGGACCGAGATGTCCATATACTGGAAAAACTCTTCCGCGGCATCAACAACAGGGTTACCCACGGTCCATCTGAGTTAACATTTTCATCCCTGAGCCACTGTATTTCCCCATTGCGCCTTTCAGCACCACCGCCTTGGGGGTCCACTTCCCAAGGCCAGGCCCCGAGTGGCAAGACGAATGGATGTGCGCCCCACATCCACCCGTATGTCTGTCCGTCTTGCTGAAAACACATAGGGAATCTAGGGAAGTGAATACTGAAGTACCTTTAAAATGTAACTTTTGCTCAACAATCAAGCAACGGAACAGGGAAGGAGTCCAGAGCCTTTATTTCTCCTGCACCACACGCTGACCGTTTAACCGCAGTGCGGCTCATGAACACCATGGCCTTTTTATTTTCATTTTTTTGAGGAGGGTTTAATTATAATTGTCTTTTTCTACAACGATAAATATACAGGATTGGCTGAAGTGAGCACTTTCTAGCCTTAATTCTCACCTAGGAAAACATAAAAACTAAACATCTTGGCTCCTGCGTTTTACACAGTCAGCTGTCCCTTCTCACAGCGACTCTGTCCCGATTCCAAAGGGCTGCTAGGTGGGGCGGATGTGCTGCTTCTCCTGTGCTCTCGCTGGATCTCTGGCAGGTCTTGCCTGAACTCGGCGCACCTGCTTGACGCAATCTATCGGGGGAATCCGAACAGGCCTGCAAGGCCTGACCGCAGTGAGCAAAACTAATGCCGATTCTACTTAAAAAAACTGACAAGATGACTCTGGTTATTAAATCATTTTTTCCCAACAGGTACAACTTGAATGAACCTCTCCCATCACAGTCTGTTCCAAAGCTCGTCACGAGCTCAGAAGCAGGTTAAACGAAGCTCCGTGGCATCAGCGGAATCGCCTGATGACTGGGCGCTTAGGTTTCTCACCTTTAAAATGGGGACAGTATTCTTCCTTTGCAGGATTGCTGTCAAGATCAGAGACGAAGTAAAGAAAGCACCTCATTTTGGGCCCTGGCAATTTTTTAATTGTTAAGCATTATTATTTCTGCTATTGTTATTTTACCCGACTAATGTGAACTTCCCTTAGAGTAATTTAAGTGCTGCTATAACGTAACTTCTAGAAATATTCTTATTGCAATACAGGCTCCTTCTGACCGAGGATGCCTAGCAGCCGTCGGTGACCATCAGGGTTCATTTTCAACTTCCCTCTGTGCGTAACCTTATGTGGCGTGAGTTCCATGCGGTCTCCAAGTCAAGAGACCCTGCCTGTGAATGAATGAGCAGCGATGAGAATGGAAGAGTTAGATTACATGTTTCATCAGCTCCTTGTAAGGGTTTCCAGTTCATCAATGATTCACTAATTTATTCAATAAACATGGACTGAGCCTCTACTCTGTGCCAGGTAGTGAGCTTCGCGTGGAGGGGCGACAGCTCCGAGTGCGGCTGGCGTGGCCCCTGACCCTAGGGACCGTCCATGTGCTTGGAGGCTGCAAGCAGTGAACTAACGGATGTGTAAGATTGTACCCGACTGCGCCATGTGCTCAGGGGAAAGATAAAGCGGGATGAGGGAAGAGAAAGTGACACGCGGTGTGTGATTTTACTTATTTTATAACAAGTCAGGTGACACACGGAAGCCACAGGAAGAACAGGTCATCGGGTGAATTTGAGCAGATACCTCAATGACATAGGAAGGTGGCCATGAGAATAAAAATCAGAATAAAGCTCAGGATAAAAATCAGTGCTAACAAATTATCAACCAGAAACATTAGAGTCTTAAACACATACACAAAAAATAATCTCTTTAAGTGTTAAAAACTATATTACCATACTATTAAGAAAGAACAATGTCGAAAAGTAGACCCGATAAACCCAATACTACTACTACTACTGACAATAATAATGTATCTTGAGTTCTCTTCTGAGTGATAACAAAAAAAATGTACTCTATTAAACTGGTCACACTCTGGTTATATAAAATTGCAAAATATTTCCAAACAGAGTGATCCTCTTAAATTATTTACGTAGGACGGTTCATTCTGCACGCTCTCGGTAACACTGGATTCTGGAAACCTTCCTTTCCCCTTTGGTTAACCCCTTTTATCCAAACCTATTCCATGGAGGCTCCTCAGCGCCGAAGCAATAACTGGGAGGCAGCCGTAATTCCAGCCCCGGTTCCCCAGCACAGAGCCGGGTATCTATCAGCGTGATATATGGGCTCCAAGATGCTATGTTGCTCAAAACACTTCCCTCCAGTTTAATACAACCCTCGCGGGGCAAGCACTCCACAGACAGCCTCCTGAATCAACATCGTGTCCAGTAAATACTAATTCTACACGACGACTGCAGAAAACAGCCACCCAGCCTATAAATTCAACAGAAGGGTGTTCTTCATAAAATTTCAAATCTAACCTTTTTGTTGGTGGGGGCCGGGGGGAGGCGAAATGAATACAAAACATTAAGTAATAAATTAAATCACAGCTTGGACCGGTCTAGCTAGTATGTACTCTTTTGAATGTATGATTTTTATTCAACTTTTCAATGTATGATTTTATTAAACTTTCACAAGAGGTGTACTGGTGGACTCGTCTCTACCTGAACAGCATGAACAAAAACCACAACCCTTCCCCCGAAACAACAAACAGACAGAATGCCCCAAGCCTTTGCTCCATAGAGATATANCGAAGAGCATGAACAAAAACCACAACCCTTCCCCCGAAACAACAAACAGAATGCCCCAAGCCTTTGCTCCATAGAGATATACAGAATTCTGGGGGNTGAACAGCATGAACAAAAACCACAACCCTTCCCCCGAAACAACAAACAGACAGAATGCCCCAAGCCTTTGCTCCATAGAGATATACAGAATTCTGGGGGAAGCTCTAAGAAGCAAAAATAAAACAGAGACCCTTTTTTTTTTTCTTTTTTTTTTCATGTGACTAGTGACTTATTAAGGTTGTAGTGGCCGGAAGAGTTAAGTTTATGGGCCAGGATAAATTCGATGGGATTCTTGTAGCACCTATTTCCCATAGACAGCCCCAACCTGCTCCCACTGCAGTGTATGTTTGTGTGCGCATCTCAAACTACTGGAATAAAATATTGCATTAAGATACCCAAGAGATCCCTAATAGTTTGTATGAAATTTAAATCTATTGTAAAGATACTGAATGTCACTCTGCACAAGGTTGTTTTGCTGGGGGTGGGGAGAGGGCAGAAATAGATAGAAAAGGGATGGGCTGATCTAGCTGATATTTAATAGAGAGATGAGACCTGACTCAGATAAGCAAACGCAGAATGTGTGCACAGCACGGGAGAGGTGTGAGTGCTTCAGGGGGTTCAGAAGTCAGGACTCACGTCCACTGGTGCCCTGGACTCTGACTTTCAGAGGAACAGGCCTTGAAGAGGCCCAGCCAGGGGACACAGTTAGTTCATCTGGGGCGATCATGTCTTCAGCCTAATTCCAGCGCCTGGGACACCCGTCACCCATGCTTGGCTCCTGGCTTTGCTTGGAATCTGAGCCCAGAGCAGCCCAAACTACTCTCACTTCCAAGATGAGGCCGTTGGCATCCCCAGGCAGGGCTCCCTGGTCACCTAACATAAGAGAAGCCATGACCTTTTCTCTCCCCCCATCCTGCCCGGAGAGCCTGGCACATATTCAAAATCCTCAGATCACACATTTCCCTCTCATTTTCTGAAACATCGACATACGAGCAAGGATTTTAAATTCCAGTTTCCAGGGTGGAACATTAGAGTTCAGACGCACATATTGAGTCGTTGAGTCATAAACAAATTGAAAACAGAAGGCGAGGCTCCATTTCCAGTCACTAAACCATATGTCATTAAAAAAGATATTAATTATGGGGAATATGCAGATGTGCTAACAAATGGACAGTCAACCTTGAGCACAAGGATGTATAAAATGGAGAATTCAATGGTGACAAGTCGGTTAAAATAGATTTCACGTTCGCAAAACAGTCTCCCGGAACAGCTCACTTTTGGAACCTGCACTACAGGCCAGGCTCTTTTAACATAATTATTCCTAATTCTCAGAAATACACTACAGAATGGCAGTGTTAGCTTTCTGTAATATAGATAACAAATCTGAGGCTCGAAGGGGTTCCACATTTTATTTCAAATCTCAAAACTGGTTGCTGGTGGAGTGAGGATTTAAACTGGGATTGTGGAAATTCAAAGGCGGTGCCTTTAGTTCTACGCCACAAAACAGCATGTTACAGGGGGTGATTTAGGATAGAAAAGAAACATTATAGTAAATAAACACAAAAGCAAATCATTGATGATATTAAGTATATTAGTTGCGGGAAAGGTTGGATTCATTTTCTGTCCAAGTCATATTTGTAAATAGCACTTTCCTGGTCTCATTTCTTTGTCACAGCAGGGTCTCTGTCTCCTTGTTGCCCCCAAAGCGTCTCAGGTAGCACTGCCAGTGGAATTTGGCAGTTCTCAGGATTTACTCAACGGCCACAGAAATTCATGATATCAAAACAAACGGGTCTTCACGTTAGCAAGAGACTGATTTTTGTTACTGAACAAAACCTGAAGATGTTACAACATTTGTCTTTGGTCCTTCCCTGACTCCTTTGGGTCTACGTTTCTGAGGGAAACCCTAAAATCTCACCAGCGTTGGACTGGTGTGAGGCTATGTCCATCGGAATTGGTGCAAATATTTGTCAAATATCTGAAATCCAACTGGCAGGCCTCACCTGGCTGCAGCAACTGTTCTTCATGAAATGAAACACTGCCCCGTGCTCACTAAGAAAGTCCTAATTAGAACAGAAAAGAAGCCAGGATATCCCGGCTCCGGGGTGTAATAGGAGTGATTTAGGAGCAGGTGTCAGAGGTGGGCCAAGGGCGCCGGAACAGAGGGACACCTCGGAATACTAATTGCTCCTGACCATTTGGAGGAATGGGAGATCCCACTTCGCATTAGCA